GTGACGTAAGTCGGTCGTGATTGGTCTGTTTCGATCTGTCGGTAAAGTTAGGTCGTTTGTGACGTTTATGTCGTGAATGAGTCGTTTGTATGGAGCGGGTAGTTGTTCACATCTGTTTAGGGGAGTCTGTTCTAAGTTAGTAAACCAGCTTTCTAGAGTCAGTCGTTGAAAATAGTCAGTGCTGTAGGTTAGGCATTGCGCAGAGTCCCAGTCAATTTTGTGGTTGGTAAGTCGATGGTGTTCAGCAATGTGATTGCTGACATCACCTTTCCTCGTCGCCCGTCTGTGTTCAGTCAGTCTTGTTGTGAGGTTTCTGCCAGTCTCACCGATGTAGGAGGCTTGGCAGTCGGAACAATTGATCTTATAAATCGTTCCCTGTCTGTTCCTCGGTTCGTCTTTGTCTTTAACGTTGGTTAGTAACTGACGTAGTGTGGTGATGGGTTTGTGGGCGACGCGGATATTGAAGGGTAGTAAGATGCGCGAGATGTTTTCAGACATGCCTTTTATGTACGGTATGGTTGCTGTAGTCGTAGGGGTTGCGGTGTCGTTTGTTTCGGTAGTGGTAGTGGGTCGGTGAGTGTTTCGTCGGATGAAGTCGTTGTTGTAGTTGTTCTTCGTAAAAACACGGTGAAGGTATTTGTTCTCGTCGGATAAGCTGTCTGTCGAGTCACATACTAGTTGTGCGCGTCGTGTTAGAGTTCTGATAGTTGTGGCTTTGTGTGATGTAGGGTTGTAGGATGACTCGTCTAGTAATCTGTCGGTGTGTGTCGGTTTCCTGTAAACTGTCGTTCGTAATGAGTTGTCGTTGTGGCTTACCAGGCAGTCTAGAAAAGGAAGTTTGCCATTTTCTTCGACTTCTCTGGTAAACTGTATGTCAGTGTTTTGTTCGTTAAGGTGGTTGTGGAATGCGTCAATTTCGTCGTGTCGAACGGCGGTGAATGTGTCGTCAACGTAACGTAACCAAAGCGGTATCGTTTGTCGGCAAGTCGAAAGGGCGCGTTCCTCGATGTTCTGCATCACAATTTCTGCTATAACAACAGAAACTGGAGACCCCATGGCAGTGCCGTGTAACTGTTTGTAGTGTTTACCGTTGTACTGAAAGTAAGTAGACGTTAGGCAAATGTTTAGCAAGTCCATGATGTCGTCTGTCGGTAGCGGTAGTGG